CATGCCCATATAAAATGAACGGTCCCTAAAATAGTACATAGTGATGAGACATGATAGGTGAAGTAACAGGTGTAAAGTGATAGGTGAAGTGACAGGTAATATATGGTAGGCAATATGGTAGTTACGCTGTTTTGTTGAAATCTCTAGGGTGGAAAGAAACGTTCCTAAAGTTGTATATAAGTTGTTGCAAACGTTCAGACTCTGACAAACATATGTTATCATACGAGATCATTTTACAAGGGGCATATTGTTGATTCAGTTTTCATACCTCATCTACTGCTTCCTCAGGTGCTTCAGGTGTTATGATCTCTTCACAGTAATTAGCGGGAAAAAGTTTTTGTTTTTGATCCCCATAGTCACCAGTCCACCTAGAAATAACAATGTTTTTACTCCTTCAGGGCTTGAAATAACGGGCGGACATCGGACATTGTCCACCCAGAATTGTAGCTTGTCTGTTCGTCCATTCATTTTGACCAGTAACGTTCAGCAAGAAACAAGGTATGACCGAGCTAAAACTAATTTGGACTGCGATCACGACCGGCAACTTATCGGCCGTTATTTTAAGCCCTGTCCTTCCGTATAAAAACAACGACATGAGTCGAGTGTTGTGTGCATATAAAAATAAAGAAAATGTATTGGTAGTGAGTGGTAGTTTATCTTAAGAAACTAAATCCCAGTCCCTTGCTCGTTTCTACTGGCTCGTGCATGAACACTAGATGTCTATTCTTTGTCTAACTTATTGACAAGTAGTTGTTTGAGCCTAGTAATTTTTTACTTGTGTTATCAGTTTTGAAATTCCCTTTATCGTGAGATAAAAAGAACATGCGTACACATACACTATTTTCACTCACCATCCACTGTCATCCTTTACCACATTGGTAATAAAAGCTCCTCTGCAAAACGTCATCTCTTGTTCATTGATACCTTCATAATCCCACAAAGCTCTGCAAGCAGGCTATTAATCAAAATTAATGATGAGACACATTGTTTGACAACAAAACTGCTATTCAACATGTTAGTTCAGTCAGGTTTTATTCAGTCGACAGCTTAAAAACCAGAATGGAAGATGTGACGACAGTTTGCCCTTGCATTTATGTCCCTTCTGATCATGTGCAGATTCTTTAGGCAGGCAGTCAGGCAGTCAGTTCGTTTGTTAGTTGGTCAGTCAGTGCGAACAGTCTGACTTGACACCCAGCACAGTCAGTCATTCAGTCTAGTCTGTCTGTTTGTCAGTGGTCGGTAGGTTGGTCAGTCAATGAGTCTGTTGGTCAATCAGTCAATCAGTCTGTCGGTCAATCAGTCAGTCTTTTGGTCAATCAGTCAGTGAGTCAGTCACTCAATGAGTCAGTCGGTCAATGAGTCAGTCAGTCGGTCGATCAGTCGGTCAGTCAGTCAGTCGGTCAATCGGTCAGTCAGTCAGTCAGCCAGTCAGTCATTAAGTCAGTTGGTCAGCCCTGTCTGTTGTTTGGTCAATCAGCAATCATCAAGGTAAGATAAGTTACACGTGGTCCATATTACTAGATTGTCACTTTAGGTGTGCATTGTGTGTGTAATGTTTCACCTTGGTAACAAAAGAGTTTGGCTCGTGGTAGACTTCACTAGTGCCATATATGGCTTCTTCTTCTGGAATCTGGAAAACGAATAAGAAAAAGAAGGACGTTTAAGGACAACCAACAACACAAACTGGGCCAAAGCACTTCATTTTTGCATCACCCTGATTGTCTGTGTTAATCTTTTCTTTCTCATAAAGATGAGAGATCTTAGTGCAAAAAAAAAAAAAAGAAACAGAAGATTTCCTTACCTGACCAACCACGGAAAGGACCTGGAAAAATGGGGAAAAAGTGATAAATTTGTAATTATTATTTCATGGGTACTCCATAACACTTTATTATATTCATTAATGGCAGACTGCCTAGACTGCCTAGACTGCCTACAATGTAATAGGAAGAAAATCCACAGGGAACCCATAACATCCGATTGATCTTTGATGAAACATTACGACACAGGGAACCCATAATATCTGATTGATCTTTGATGAAACATTACAACACAGGGAACTCATAACATCCGATTTGATCTTTGATGAAACATCACAACACAGGGAACCCATAACATCCGACTGATTTTTGATGAAACATCACAACCTTGCAGCATGACTAAGGGACAAGAAGATGACCTTTTTTCTACTTGGTCTCTCCTGCTCTTCAAGGGTTTTTCTCTGGGATCTCTGGTTTTCCTCTCTCCCCAAAAATCACCTCCTAAATTCTAATTTGATCATGGAAGGAGGGCCACAGGTTTGTTAGCCACTGGCTGCTACCCTTGTGCTACCTAGCGTACCCTTGTAAAAATAGGACGGCTACAGAGAACCCATTATCTTGTACCTGTTCATTGATGGCATATTTTAGCTTCATTCCCTTGTACAGCGGATGTTTCATGTAAAATTCAACCAGCTCAACTAGACTTTCAAACTGAGCTGTACCAATGGTGAAAAGTCTTCCTTCTCGCTTTAGTTTACAGTGCTTTATCTTTCCCTCTGCCCTGTAGGAAGTTGATAAACAGAGGTTATCATGTGAGAAGGTGTGGCCTTGTGGTCACAGACACCTCACATTTTAGTAACTTTTTCCTGACAATCATAGTGACAACCCTCTTTGGGGCTGGAATGACAGTGACACTAGGCTCCAAGTAGCTCAATCTAATCAGCCTCAAGATTTTTATCATGTCACATATGAAGGGAGCAGTCCCTGCCAGCTGGGCAGTGAATGTGGCGCGCAAAGCGTGAGTGGACAAAATGGCCGGCCCTAAGCATTTCTTGAGCTTGAAAGAACAATAGCAAACATGGCATTAAAGTGAAATTGTTTTCATTCCTCCTTTGGATGTTTCTGGTTCTCATAGGGAAGTATAATTATGATAGTAGCCTCAGAATGAGGGCCAGCGGCAAAACAGCTACTAAAATTCACCTCTCAGCTGGTGGAACCTGATCATGTTGTGTCCTAAGGTCTAAAATGAACACTGACTTTCACATGAGCCGAATGTAATGACATCAGAGAAGACCACCTTATTTTCCATTGCTTTTAATGTGAAGTTCGGCAGTTTTCTTTGAAAGTTATTGTACGCGAGAAGACATGAAAATATTAATATGGATACGACTCAAACAAAGTATCTTATTCTGAAGAATATGACACATGGTCTCAAAAGGGAAAATATTACGCCCATGTGAAGACCTAAAATTTGTACCTGAATGAGATGGCGTAAGACTCCTCTCCTGTTCTCTCATCCTTTTCTCTTCTCCTGACCAGGAACGCACCATTTCTTCGTACTCTTTTCAGCATGTCCTCTGCAGTGCTTCTCGTCAAGTTATCATGATACCAGCTACAAGAAGATAAGCACATTGCTGGTCATTAATAAGGAATGAAGAAAGAAACATGGCAGTAATGATGTGAAATGACTGAGGGAGAACTCTTAGAAGATTTTTATAAAGAAATATAATGGAATTCAGTCAGCTACTGTTTTACTTACTCTTTATCCAGATGAGCATTGGGCTGGGGAAAAAAAAAAAGAAAGAAAAACAAACAGGAAAGGAGAAAACTAGTTAGATATCAGCCGAGGTAAGTTCCTATATAGGGTTGGTCAAGCAACATGCTTTTCCTGGAAAGCTTACCATTAAGAAACTAATTGGAGACACCTATCTAACCCTAATAAAATCCCTTGAAAATCCATAGTTAATTATTAGTTATTTCCTATTTACATTCCCATTCCAACACCATCTATTCGCCCCCCCCCCCCCAAAAAAAATCCTGGATCTGCAGTCCCTTAACTTA